GGACTTTCCCGGAGTTGTGAATGCTGGGCATAGCCCCTCCGCTAATGGCAGACAGAGAGTTTTGTCTGCTGCCCGGGCAGAACTCTGGAGCTTCCCCTCCGGGGCGCAGAGCTGGCCTCTGGAGCTTCACCCAGCCCCAGTCCTCTCCGAGATCTCTGGCAGTCCCTTGCCCAGCCGTGCAGGCAGTGGCAGCCGGGGGGCCGCCACGCCCTCTGTGATTCTCTCTGGGACCCTCTGGGCGCCGTGGACACCAGGCGGGATCTCCCCGCCAATGGCGGGGTGAGACTCTCCCCGCGTGCTCAAGTGTGTAACTCTAGAGTTTCCCTCTGCGTTTAGGAGTAATTGCGGGGGGGTTAGGTAGGGTTCTGGTCACCTGTTTCCACCGTCGCTCCTCTGGTGTGTGCTCGCTCCTGCCCTAGGTGTGTGTTGCTCTTCTGGGGGCGTCTGTTGGAAGAAAGCCGCTTGCAGGTACTAGGCTGTTCGGTCAGGTTTGGAGAGTTTTCACCTATTTCCACCTCCTCCCGGAGGGAAGTCCGTTCACCTTCCAGTGTATAGTCGCGTGGGTCTCTCAGATGTCCTGAGATGCTATCTGGATATCCTTTGTTAAGCGATGAGTGTCCAAATGGTTGTAGACTCGAAGGGGGAGAGACAAAGAGGACTACTCACGGCGCCATCTTGGATTTTCTCCTAGCCCTTTACTTTTTAAGGTCAGTTTATATGTGAGTTTCTTAACTCTTTTGGAGATTTAAACCCCAAAGTCTCACTCATTTTTCCTGCTATAGCCTTTTCTTTCTAAGCCCTTACCTGGCACTTTATGCTGCCACTGCACAAAAATTGTTTCAGCAATTCACACATGTCATATTGCCTCTTGTCTCAGAGCCTTTGCATGTGCTGTTTTCTGTCCTGGAAGAACGCTCTTGCCTCCCCATTTCCTTTCATTCTTTAAATCTCAACTGACCCGTTGCTTGCTCTGGGAAGCCCTCCTTCACCCCAAGACAAGTTAGATGCCCTACTTATGGGTTTTAATAACATTCTCTACTTATCTACTTTTAATATACTGTAAGTCCCATTTCACTTATATCTATCCCCACATTAGATGTATCCCCCATTGAAGGTAGAGATCATGGCTGGATGAATCACTTTTGGCAACCTTAGCCCCCAGTAGGCACACAAAAATTTATTGAATGCATAAACTTCAGTCTACAGTGAAGTGACTCAATTTCAAATCTCACTGTAAAAAGTTCTAGCAACAGAACATTCAAAGCCTGATGAAATTATTTCTTCTGTTTGCCTTCATTTGAAAATGTTCTTAGTAAAGGAGAATATGCAAAATGCACCAGAATATAATTGGTTTAATCTAGACCTGGAATTGAGCCAATATATGATGAAAGCAGTATCTGTTACTTCCTCTTCTCAACTGTGTTATTTGCCTTGCTGCTTCTGCTGTTTTAATTCCTGCCAGTGCAGGTTTTCATAGTCTACATTGAAAACGTTCTGTCCTCAAAAAAAAATGTTTGACACTGAGAACAGCTGGGTCTTCTTGGTTCCTAATGCTCCAGTGAGAATCACTGTTATTTTAATTGCACTTTAATTTTGTCTTTTCTCAAAAGAAATGTAGCAGAGATAATGACTACAGAGGCTTATTTTAAGTCGTGTGACTTTAGTACAGTTTGTTATCTTGGTGGTTTGTTAAATCTATAGTGTATTTCCAGTTCTAATGCCAGGGTTGCTGGGTTAGTCCATTAGTGCAATGAAATACAGGAGTTATATCTGGTCAATATCTTTGTCATTTTTCCCCACGTACATGAATTTTGAACAACTAGCAGTTGTTGTACATAAGAAGGACTGAAAGGGGCCATTTTTCCAAGGTGCATATTAAGGAAATAAATGAAAAAAGTATCCTCCCCCACATCCTTCCTGTCACTCTCTCCCCTTTTCTCTCTCATCCACATATCTTACTCAAACCCAAGCTTTTTAATTATAGGAAATTTTTATGTTAAATCTAACTTGAAACATTCATGTTGCTAAAAGGATATCACTGTGCCAGAAATTGTTTCTCTGAAATTAAAAGACAAGTCATTGGAGTGAAAGGCAATTGGAAAAAAAGAAGGAAGGGCATATAATGAAGATATTTATCATGTGCCGTTCTCTGCTCTTGCCCGTTTCCCCCCTAATAAAATAAAGGAGAAGAAAGGGGTATTGGAGAAAGGAATGCTTTTGAATAAGAGGGGATGCAGTTCAACTGCATGTATCATGGTAGCCCTTGGGAGCAAACAACACAGGAAATTTTGAAACTTTGTAGTAAAAGCATGTTTTTTGTTTCTGTGCTTTAATGTTTCTTTATAAAACAGTTGATTTTCATAACTCATTGACAAATAGTTTTTTTAAAACTATTAGATTACTTCATCTGTGCTTCTGCCATTTAAGATTGGAATTGCTCACTCTTTTTTACTACTCAATGGACTGTGAAAATTGAACTGTTAATCTGTTAATGATTATAATAAATTAAAAACATATGAGGGTAGCCTCATCCACATTTGAGCTGCAGGATGTAGTTACCTCCCTTGTGTGCAAAGCTATTATTTTTTGATACCTGTGGTTTTAAGGTCCTCCATTCTGGATCATTTGGAAGACCTAAAAAGAGACTAATATGTTGATTCTTTAAGTGATAACTCTCCTCTCTATGCTGCTGGCTGCACTGCTTTATATTCTGTCATCAAGATGACAGTAATAATTTCAGATACACTCCCAGTTGTGTTCTTCCTGTCTACCATCTGGACTTGGCTAGGTTTACAACATGGCAAGTTTCTTGTCAGCCTAGATACTCTGTATTTTAATATTTTCATTCATCTATCCAGTAGAAAAATTGCCATACTCATTCCTTCCCTCTTTTTTTGGGAAAAAGAGATCTGGAGCTCTTTAGTCCTTCCCAAGGTCCTTTCTTGATAAAAGTTCTGTAGGAACCTGCATTTGGTGACCTGGAGAGTGTTGATATTTTTGCGTTAGCTAATGATAAAGTTAATTTCGTGAGTCATAAAATGACTCCAACTTGGAGCAGCTACTGTTGCCATCACAATTATTCCTTACAACTGCATTCTGCTCTAGAAAAAGGAATATAAACACTATTAATGTAATTGATCTTTGCCATCTGTTGCTATATCAGTAATAAAACAGAAATTAGTATGGAATATAGTGGAAAAGACTGATTATCTCATATGTCATGTTAAAATATGATCAGAATATATCTCCTCTATCTTAAATATCTTTTGTAATTTCAGTAGAATTGGAGTAACTAAAGTATTAAGAGAATCTGATGAATTTTAATGATTCATACTTTTGAAGTTGATGGAACCTAAGGCTTAAGGTACTAAAGGGTTTAAATATGTTTCTACAGCATTTTATGTGCAAAAGCCTTCATACAGAATTATATGATAGTGAAAATTTTAAGTCTAAGTGTTTCCAAATAGATTGGTTAAACTCTGGTAGGTTTTGAAATAGAATATTATGAAGATATTTGAACACTGCATATGAAGACAATGGAAAAATGGTAAAGGATGGAATCTGGTAGGTGAAAAATCAGTATAAAAATAAATGCATATAGGTCCACTGTATGAAATATTACATCAATTAAAATGTATATGTGAAAAATCTTGGCAGAAAATACCCCCCACATGCTATCATTGTCTGAGTTTAGATTATTTTTCTTATCTCTACTCATCTTTGTAATAATTTTAAAAGTTAGTATTCTTTGCTTTAAAATGAGGAATAAAACTTACGTCATAAACATCTACAAACCTTATTTAGATTTTCTTTGAAACTATTTACTATGACGTAGTTATTTTGTTCATTCATTCATTCACCAAGTATTTTTTGAGTACCTGCTAGGAACATTATTCTAGGCACTGAGGGGTTCACAGTGGACAAAATGTAAGCTCATGGGGCTTCTATTCTAATAAATAGTAAACCTTAAGACACTTAGAAGGATACCTTTAACTATGATACTAAATCCACACCTTTGTTGCCAACTTTAAGGGATATTCCTTGATTAGTAATTTTAAGGATTTTAAAAATTCCTACATAAAAAAATTCCTACATATATTTTGTAGTCAGCTTTTATAGTAATATATTTTTTGTGGTCATCTATTTTGTAGCTCCTTATTAATTGTACGTTAATTGAAATCATTCCGTAGAAATTTCTAACAAGTCTCTTAGCATTTCTATGTGTAATGGTAGGGGCCCAAAAAGTACATATCACTTTTCTATGATTTTGACTCTGTTATTTCTTATTTGTGCCTAATGAGACCTTAATCCTCCCCTAATGTTTATCTTTCTAACTTTGAATTATGTGACTTTTCTAAATGCTTTTGTTTGTTCTTCCTTTGCTAACATAACAAAAGACAAAGGCTGAGGTGGAACACGTTTTATATACTTCTCTCAATATCTTCCCCTGTTGCCTTATCCCCCCCACACTTTCCCCTCCTCCCTGCTTCTCTGCTCTAGCCACAATGAACTTGGGAGCCAGTTCAGTGCAAGGACACCATGTACACTTTCTCTCTGGGCCTTGAACACTTCAGGGTCCCTCTTCACCTGGCTAGCACCTATGTATCCTGAAGTCTCAACTTAGATGTCATTTCTTCCAAGAAACTTCTCTTAACGTCCCCTAGAGGATGATGTATTTCTTCTACATGCTTCCATAGAATGCTGTATTTTATTTTTCTATCGATAACATTTATATAATATTCTACTTGCCTGATTATAATAGACTGTAAGATCTATGCGAGAAGGGACCTATCTACCTTGTTCACCGTTAAATAAATAATTGTTAAATGAATGAGTGATCTTTGTTAACTTTAGAATAACTGCACTGGGAGGCAGACTTTTAGTTTCTTAGAAGAATAATTAAATATAAAAATATACCCTATTAACTTTGAAACATCCATTTAATATTTTTTCTTGCCCCATTGCCCTCTCTCTCTCTCTTATTTTTTGGTCTGTATTAGGTGTCATCAATCTCACGGAAGAAGTACAGTGGGTCAAAGTCAATACCAACATGAATGGCTATTATATTGTACACTATGCAGATGACGACTGGGAAGCACTAATCAAACAGTTGAAAATAAATCCTTATGTCCTGAGTGACAAAGACCGAGCCAACCTCATCAACAACATCTTTGAACTTGCAGGGTAGAGTATGCTTGGTTTGGGTTTTGTGAGGGTTTTTTAAACAAGTGTTATTGAGGAAAAGAACATTTTAGAAAAACAGTTCAAAAGAACTAGCATGTATTGCCTGTTAGGTGTAATTCATTTTGGAGGACTGGAAAAATATCAGACATATTCCTTACCTTTAAGGGCTTTATAATCTGTATAGAAACATCAGCTGCAGATATAACTGAACAGTTAACAAGATTTAAATAATATTTTCAAGACTGTAGATACCAACAAGCAGGACACATGTTTGCTAAATAAGAAGACGTAGGAGTTCAAGCTTTGTTTTATCTCAAGAGAGAATTCTTCTCAAGCAGCTGTTGGTTTAAATGTGAAGCTTAGTGCTTGCCCACATGTTTGGGGGACATCTCAGATAGCCGAAGCCTCCTTTTTTGTGTACTGCTTGCCTCCCCAACCACCCCATGCGTTATAGAATCCCAAAGCCAAGAATGGCAGTGACCTTGTGTATAGATATCCCCTGAATAGGAAGATTACCAGTCTATGTTGTTAATGGGTCTAGAGACAGAAGGAATATTCAAAAGTGTTCCTTCTAACTGCTCTTGACCTTCCTGTTGTGGTTCATTTTGTATGAAATGACCTTATATCATCTCAGCCATGATTGTTATGATTTCTATAAACTGGTTAATTTTTAAAATGTACTCACATAAGGACCTTGCCTTAACAAGTTTGACAAATTCTCATACAAATAACAAATAAAAATTTTTCTTTCTGATTCAAATCCTCTTTATGCCACCTGCTTTCACCTGGTAAAGATAAGTGATTAATAAATAAATAAAATTAGTGCTCTTCATCTTTTCTCACCTAAGACATTGTAGTACTTTTCCTGCCTCAGTAGTAATTTGCAGGTGACTTACAGAATAAAAACTGAGCTGTTGTTTATCTTTCTCCTGAAATCTGTCTTTAACCTTGGGTCACACACATGAACTTAATTAAAAATAATAATATTTAGTCTAACTTTACAGAATGCCACTCTAAACTTAAATTTTAGATCTTCAAGACTCACCATCTAGCCATAAAGTTTCTCTCTCACCATGCATAGAGTTCGTCTGCCTATCCCGGCACGTTTACTTTTTCTGTTCTTTTACCCTTTAGCCTAGGCAAGGTGCCTCTTCAGAGGGCCTTTGATTTGATTGACTATCTTGGAAATGAGACCTTTACTGCACCCATCACTGAAGCCCTGTTCCAAACAGGCCTCATCCATAACCTCCTTGAAAAACTGGGATACATGGATCTGGCCTCAAGACTGGCGGTACGTCTGCCTTTTTGCCAACTTCTCTGTTCCTTGTCTTTAATATTGTTATTCACAGTTCCATTCAGCAGTGATAGTCTGAAAAAACAACCAGTTTAATTCCATTTTCTTCACTTTCCTAATTGTGAAATCTTTAATTTGAATCAAACTGTCTTTTGCTTATCATGAAGAATTGATAAAGGCTTAGCATGATGTGGTCCTGTTTGAAAATCAAAATATAGACTCTGACACTGCCGTCGAAGTGGGGTCACGTGAAAAGAAAATTTCTCTATTCAAATCCTGGTTTATTTTTGTATAATAAATGCTTGAAATGGGCACTTTTGCAAAGTAGTGCTCTCCATTAATTTCCTGGTGGTCATTATAAAATGACAGTTATATTTTTGTTGAGAATATTCTGTTTCAGGAGTCCTTACCTGATACCTATCTTATGGATGATGGTGCAGATGGATTAAGTTTCTCTGCAAAGCACTCAAGGAATCTCAATGTTGGAGACTATTTTGGCTATTTTAAAACCAATTGCTTGATCTTAACAGTTTTTATTTCAGACACTTTCAGTATTAAACTGTTGACTGTGTCTTTAAAAACTTGAGAGGGAACAATGAATTCTTTGTTTGATCTAATTCTCTGAATCAGCACATTCTGACAACAAGGTTTGCTTTAAAAACTAGTCAGATTTTCCAGGGACCAGGCAAAAGGCACCTTTCAGGAAAAGGAAGCAAGTATTGGACCTGGAATTAGAATAAGTCTTTTAGGATCTTGTGTCCTCTTTGATAAAAGGAAGGAGTTGGATTACATCTTTTTTTATTTTTTAACCACCTCCTTTCTGCCACTCTTTCTGTTCTACTGCACATACCCTGTGATGAGTTCTCTCACAGATGCCTGATTCTCAGTGTGGGGAGGGAGGGCAGGGCAAGTGGCCCATATGAAGCTTGAAAAGTACTCTTCCTCACAAGTTTATGATCTGACCCCAAAGGAGCCACCCTTGTCCCTACCCATAAGTGAAATGCTTAAGTTAGATGACGTCTGAGGTGTCGTCTCGTTGTTAAGATTCTTCATAAATCTTTCAACTACCAGCCTTAATAAAAACCAGGGCCTGGAATGTGACCCAGCCCATAGTGACACTCAGTAAATGTTGAATGAACAAATGAGTGAAACTCACCAGAAACAAGTACATTTCAGTGCCCGTTATGTTCTTCACACCATGCTTAGTGCTTCATATAGATTACCTCGTTTAATTCTCACACAATGCCAAATAGATATTTCTACCCCCATTAGATAAATGAGGAGACTAAATAACTTCCCCAAAGTCACTTACCTAGTAAATTATAAAACTGAGATTCAAACCCAGATTAGTTTCACTCCAAAGCCTACTCTTCGTGTTATATTGCTGTATTTTAAATTAATTTGTGTGCTACCAATGTCATCTTTCAAAGGATACCTTTTTGTTGGAAAAATCAAAGCTGTTTATTTCTTGCTATCATTTCTTTTTCTTTTTTAAACTGAGATTTTTAAATTAAAAGAGTTTGAAAAACTTGCAGACCACGTGTTACGGTTTAAAATGACAGACCCACATCTAGTTATTCTGTTGGAAATGAAGTTGTCAACTTACTATTTCAGATTCGTTTATGTCCAAAATGTTAGTAATAGTATTTTTTTCAAGTACTTACGTACATTTCCAAGTAGTATGCAAATAACTTATTGGTCTCTTTAGGGCAAACTTAGACTCCAACACAGACTTTCTGCCTTTAGTATATTAAAGAACTTGGCCATTTGTTAGCCAGTTCAGCTACTATGGATGGACATTTGCGTTGTTTGTAGTTTGGAGCTATTACACACGGCATTGCTGTGAATGTTCTTGTACATGTCTTTGGTGAATATCTGTATGCATTTCTATGGAGTATCTGTCTGTAAGTAGAATTGCCGGGTCACAACATATGCATAGTTAATACTATACTACCAAATCTTTTTTCAAAATTATGCCAGTTTACACTCAATCAGAAGTGTATGAAAATTTGAGTTATATTCTGGCTCTATATTCATGCCAACACTTAGCGTTAATAGTAAATCTTTTTCCTTTTAGCCATTCAGATGAGTGCAGAGTGGTAGTGCAATTTTAGCTTTAATTTGTATTTCCCTAATAATTAGTGAAGATGAATTATTTTTGATATGTTTATTGACCTTTGGATATTCTCTTTTGTGATGTGCCCAAGTCTTTCACTTGTTTTTCTATTGGATTGTCTGCCTTTTTCTTAGTGATTTGTGAGAGCTCTTTCTATATTCTAGGTATGAGTCTTTGTTGATCATGTATATTTGCAAATATCTTCTTCCACTCTGTCTTGCTTTTTCATCTCTTAATGATATTTTTTGACTAGCATAAATCATTTTAATGCATAAAATCTGCTGACCCCAAGATAGTCTCATATGTTCTCTTCTGAAAACTTTATTATTTTACCTTTTACATTTAGGTAAAGGTACTTAATTGGAATCAATTTTTGTATATGGTGTGAGGAATTGATTTTTGTGTATGGTGTGAGGTAGACATAAAAATTCATTGTTTTGCAGTATGGATATCCAGTGATCAAGCACCAGTGTACTTCATTGTCTAATGTATTTTTTATTATAGAATTTCTAAAATTACTTTGAGGTTTATTGGTACTATATCAAATCAACACCATTTTGGTAGTATATTAGTTTTCTAGAACTGTTGTAATAAATTATTACAAACTTGGTGTCTTAAAACAACAGAAATTCATTCTTTCACAATTCTGAGAGCTAGAAGGCCAAAATCAAGGTGTTGGCAGGTCAGGATTGGTTCCTTCTCAGGGAGAATTCTGTTCCATCCGTCTCTCCTAGCTTAAGGTGGTTGACAGCAATCCTTGGCATTCCTTAGTTTGTAGATGCATCAGTATAATCTCTGCCTCTTCTCTCTGTGTTTTATAAGGGCACCCAGCATTGGATTTGGGCCCCCTGTAATCCAGTATGACCTCATCTTAACTTGATTACATCTGCAGAAACCCTTTCCGAAATAAGGTCACATTCAAGGTTCCAGGCAGACATGAATTTTGGGGGGACACTTTTCAACCCAGTGTAGGTAGCAATAAATAACATTAGTACATATTGCTCACTTTTTTCTCTGTTAAAAGACAGTGTTGGTACTAATATACCCCAAGAGGAGGCAGAATATCTGCCTACTCTGAAGCTGCCCAGCTAGTTAAATTTCATGATGGCAGAAGCCATCCTTCCCCCTGCCTCTCTCCATTAACTGTTGAGGGCCTAGTGTCAGGAAGCACTTGACACTTACCTCAAGCTGTCCCTATGCTGAGAACACAGATGCTAAACTCAATTCAAGGAATTGGACCTTTTGAATATTTTCCTACTGTAACACTTAAGTAACTCTGCATCTTCATCCCAGATGATGATTTTCAGTTTGCTGGGCAGGTATGTGTTTATTAAGAACATACTTCAGGATGGGGTCCAGCTGGACTGATGGTTAGAGGGCAAGGGCAGGAGGCTTAGTATGAATTGGTGAGACCACAGGCCCTTTCACTGCTGTAGATCTTCATACACTTGATTGTTAGTTCAAAGTCAGGTTAGCTTTGGTTCATCAAGAGGGAGAAACTGTCCCTTTAAAATTCTTATTGAAAATCTTAGGGCATTCTGATAGCATCAAAACTCTCAAAATATGAAATCTGACACACTGCAATCTGAGATTGGAATGACAGATATTTCTGAGTCCTTGGATCCAATCTTCAAATGGTATTTGTCATTAATCTTGGTGTCTAATTAACTTTTTATGTCATTGTCAGCAGAGCATTGTGTGCATTTATTGGTCACTTTGTTATGTAGGCTACACATACCTACATAACACATACCTTTATATCACATTTTGTGATGTGTGCTGTGGTGCTGTGGTGGGTAGGGTCTGGAGGCACATTTGAATTGTGTCAGATTGTTCACATCTGATGTTAACATCTGATCCCAGCCATATTCCTGTTTCATCACTTCAAAGTTTGTCATTCTTTTATATCTGAGGGATTGGTGGGGTAAACCTTTTGTAATAAAAGCTCACACTTCACTTTTAAGAAGCTCAGTTGACCCAAGAAAGAACTCCCTGGGCATCTCAGTGTAAAATTAAAGCAGTAAATCAAAATGTAATACAGAACATAAGTGCCAGCATCTTTCCCTGTCTGTTTTATTTTTAAAATCATTTTGTGTTCTTGTTGCATTTTATTGCATATCCAATGTTTGTAGCTTGTATAACCCATCAATTTATTCCTTTTCCCCACTTGTCCTTTTCACTTTATGAAATAAGAGGATTGGATCCCATTGTATAATGAATTTAAATTTGAAAAAATTAATTTAGAACCATGAAAAACAGGTTTAATTTTATTTTTAAAAGGGAAAGGTAATTTGACGCACTTGCTATGGTTTGTTAATATTAAAAACATAACCTGGATTACTTACAAAAATATTTTATAACAGCAGGAAATTTCTAAAAACAGAATTATTTCTTTAATAAAATCTTTTGCTCTATTATGTTATCATTTGAAATACATTTAAAATCAACTGTTCGGGGAATTCCTCTTGACTGTATGGTACAGGGAACAGCTAGTACAATTGCGCCTTGTAATTCTGACCCAGTAACTGCTCAGGATTTAGCCTCAGCGTCTTCAGTGTCCGGTTTCCCTTGCTTCCAGTACTTTAAAGTGCCTTTTTTTCCCACTGGCTTCTTTAGATTTTAGTAAACTCGCAAGAAGCATTGTCATTTTTCTCCGTTAAGATTTTTTTAATAGTATTTCAAGCATAACTTTTTTTTCTCATTCTTCCTTTGTTTCTCTTTGACGTTATGAGTAGCTTTTAAATTTCTTTGATTCTTCATTCATTTGGGATGGTCCTATCGTGATGCTGTTGAGAACGTCAGGCCAGTGCATGGCAGCATGTCCCAGCGCAGTCATGTATATCCAGTAGGGTCTTCTGGATCGCTGTTAGGTTTCTTGCACTGTCAGTTAGCACGGCAAGCATTTTTCCACTTCCTGTCGTCCCAGTGATTGCAAGCTTTTTCACTCACACATTCCGCAAGGTGTCTGTTCTCTATTTATCGCTTTTGAAGGGAACAAACAAAAGTGAGTTGACATGTTATCACAAACTTTGAGTTTCTCCTTGCACAGATTCTTTTTCCATTCATGTAGTCAGCGCCCTGAGAGACTTACTCAGAGAAAGTCTACTGAGAGAATGGCCTCAGCAGTTTACAACTCTCCAACTGGGATTCATTTTAGTTATTGACACTGGCACTCTGAAAGAATGTAATGCTCTGTTAAGAACTTGAGCTGATTTTCTGGGGTTAAGAGTTTCTCTGTGTGGTCGTCTGTGGTACTTGAGGTGAGACATGACAATGGTGATGGTGTTCAAGAAGTCCCAGTAGGAAGAAATGCCCCTGTGCTAAGAACCCTGCAGGTGGGGCATGCCTGTAAATTTTTTTTGTTTTGATTCTCTTTATTAATAGCCATGAAACTTTTCTAAAAAATACCTGTAAGCATTTTTATATTAGAATTTTTGTTCCTTTTAGTGACATTCATACATGCATATTTCACATGATGAATTTTTTAAATCCAATGTGTGTCTTCGCCCCTCTCCAAGCACCACAGCTTACAATATGGCAATACTTGCATATACTATGAACAGCTTCTATGCTTTTGTTGTGGGTAGAAATGACAAAGAAATGAGAGATATGTTGGTTTCTTAATACCGTCAGTACACATTTAAGAATGACTTTTCATTCAGAAGTAACTATAAGAATGGACTGAATAGTAAGTGATATTACTGAATAACTTAATTTTCTTAAGCATGATAAGGTTTTTGGTTATGTAAGAGAATGTCTTTATTTCTGGGAGTTGCATGCTAAATATTTGTAAATGAAGTATCATGGTATCTGTGACTTAACTTTTATGTGGCTCAGCTAAAACCAGAAAAACAAATGTGTGTTGTGTGTTACACACAGACACAAAGCAAATGTAAGAGTTTTAAAAACCTGTGACTCTAGCATATGAGTGTTTATTGTACTATTCCTGTTGCTTTTCTGTAGGTTCAAAAATTTTTTAAATTTACGAATTGGGAGGTAGACACAATAACTATAAACTATTCTTCCCTGCAGTCTTCATTTTTTCATTAATTTGATTAGGTTAATTTATTATGGCGTCAAACTAGTTGATATTTTAAATATTCCTTTAATATTGGATTCAGAAACATTTAAACAATTGCCCATCAGTAAAGAAGTATATTTTTCCCTCATTGCTTTATGGATTTATGGATTCTAAAGTCATGAGATCGTCCTTCCAGCAGTGTTGTGTGTGATACTTTTTGGCAGGAAAATAACTTCTAGCTCAGTACACACGGAAGAAAGATTTCCTACTGCACATAAGTCATTAATTCTTTCCGTGTTATGTCATTAAAAGTGCCCCTTGGCTAAAGCAGCCCTGTGTATATAGCTGTTATTGTTATTGAATGGTTTCAGCCCAGCTCTATGTGGGCTTCATATGTCAGTTGATATTTAATGAGGACTATCTATGCCCTGCTTTTTTTTCTCTTTGGGTAAATTTTGGGAAAAAGAAATTTAGTTGTCCTGATTTCTCTGGTTTTCCTAATATTATTATTCTATTATAATCCATTTTGTCTCTCTAGACCAGGGTATTTAAATTGCTTCAAAGCCAAATCCAACAGCAGACTTGGACTGATGAGGGCACCCCATCTATTCGAGAACTTCGGTCAGTCTTGCTAGAATTTGCTTGCACCCACAGCCTGGAGAACTGCAGCACTATCGCCATGAAGCTGTTTGACGATTGGGTGGCATCCAATGGAACTCAAAGGTGACATGTGCTTCTACTCAAATGAACTCTCTTCTTCTTGTTTACCATACTGAAACCAGGTCATCACTGTTATAAAACTGAGTGTTAATGTAGGTGAACTCTATGCACCTGTGTTCTCAAACAAGACCGTTTTTTTTAAATTGTGGTAAAATACATATAACATAAAATTTCCTATCTTAATTTTTAAATGTACAATTCAGTAGTGTAAGTATATTCAAATTGTTGTGCAGTGAATCTCAAGAACTGTTTTATCTTGTAAAACTGAAACTCTTTACCCAAACAACAACTCCCCATTTTCCCTCCTCCTACCCCCTAGCAACCACCGTTCTACTTTCTGTTTTATCAGTTTTACTGCTCTAAATACCTCATATAAATGAAAACATACAGTACTTGTCCTTTTGTGACTGGCTTATTTCATTTAACATAATGTCCTCAAGGTGCCACCATGTTGTAGCCTGTGTCAGAATTTCCTTCCTTTTTAAGGCTAAATAATCCATTGTGTGTATATACTACATTCATCCACTGACAGATATTTGGATTGCTTCCGCCTTTGGCTCTTATGAGGAACACTGCTATGGATGTGGGTGTACAAGTATCTCTTAGAGAACCTGCTTTCAGTTCTTTCAGATATATAGCCAGAAGATCATATGGTAGTTCTATTTTTAATTTTTTGAGGAACAGCCATACTGCTTTCCATACTGGCTGCACCAATTTAATTCCCACCATTTAGTGCACAAGTGTCCCAGTTTCTCCACATCCTCACCAACGCTTGTTATTTTCTGGTTTTTTGATAGGAGCTATCCTAATGGGTGTGAGAGGTCAAACAAGTCTCTTAATTTAGGACTAAAGCAGAGCAGGTAGAAGTTAGCAGTTAGGAGAAATGTTTTTGATGGTTGGTTCTCTCCAGGTTCCTTACTGGGTATTATGGAAACAGATTCAAGCATCAGATAGAGAGTTGAGGTGGCGGATTTGGATAACCTATTGAGTTCCTTTCCAGCTCTGAAATCTTGATAAAGGCAGAAAACTGTGCCTCTTCTCCTCTTCTCCCCCCCACCACATTTGCTGCAGTATTTCTATACTGGAACTTACCACACTGTGTTATAATGTATATATTTATTGTTCTGTACTTTGTGATTGCCTGTGAGTTCCTAGAGGGCAGAAACTGTGTCTCGCTCCTCTTCCCTCTCCAGCACCCAGCCAGTGGCTTTATGGGTGCTCAGTGAGTAATTATTGTACTAAGTTGAATGGATATTCTTTATAGTCACACCACTAGGAAAGTAGCGGCCACTGAATTAAACACTTTCTTGACTATTAGTTGTACGGTAAAAACTCTTCTAATTATTATTACCTACTTTGACCCCAAAAAACACTACCACTAGTCAGTTCCTTGCCTTTGTATTTATGATTTTCTCTTGTTCTTATATTTGGCCACCTCTCTTACAGCCTACCTACTGATGTCATGACTACCGTGTTCAAAGTTGGAGCAAAAACTGAAAGCGGCTGGTCATTCCTCTTAAGCAAGTACATCTCTATAGGCTCTGAAGCAGAGAAAAATAAAATACTTGAAGCTCTTGCCAGTTCAGAGGATGTACGGAAACTTTACTGGTATGAAACTACCCAAGGAATATGATATATAGAAACCAAAAGCATAAAAGCATTGTACTCCCGGGGTGGGAAGCTCATTTTCTCTGGGGTCTTTCTTTTCCTTCCTTTACTCCCAGGCCAGACCTGACTTGAATGGTGCAGTGAGGAGCCTGCAGGTTCTGGGCTTCATCTGAGGGACTGGACCTGTTCAAATAGGCAGGAAGAGCTTTGCCCAAAAGAGGTTGGGAGATGCCAAGAATCACTACCGCCTTCTGCTTTCTGCTTAAAAACTTCTGCATCCCCTTAGCGTGCTGTGTTTAATTCCACAGTTAGTGCTTCATTCTTTTTGGTCAAAGCGTTCCTCTGTCCAAGCTGTCATAGCTGTCATTTTGAAAATGCACACCCTTCAGAAAAAGGTAACATGTAAATGCTTATAGGTTATGCCTTCATTTGAATTTGTCAGACTGTTCCTTTTTAATATTCAGCTGATGAAGACCTGGAAATGGGAGTTTCACACGGGGGAGGGAAAGGTAGTAAATAGGGCCTCCTGATGGGAAGAACAGTCAGTGGCAGGGTAGAGGGGCTCTAAGTAGCCAAGAGAAATATGAAACTATCTTGAAAGTCAGCACTGGGAAGGACAGAGGGAAGCACTTGGGTCTCATTGCTTCTCTTGTTTCATTTTGTTCAGGTAAATCCTAATGGTGTCCCAGAGATGTCCTCAGCATCTGCCCTGACCCACTTCCCAAAGAACACACTGTAAATAGGCATTTTCTTCAAAGTAGTAGCCAGCCTCTGACCCAACCAAATAGAGTAAAGTTTTTGTTTTTAAATTAGTAATAATTTGTTTATTAAATAACTTATTTAATAAGTTTATTTTAAACTAGTAATACACTAGTAAATTTTCATTATAAAGTATTTTAACAGTACCTAGAAAAATAGCATAAAATGTGAAAGTATCTCTCATATAATCCTTCACTTCCATTCTTTTTCTTTTTTTTTTTTTTGAGGAAGATTAGCCCTGAGCTAACATCCACTGCCAATCCTCCTCTTTTTTTGCTGAGGAAGATTGGCCAGGCACTAACACCATGCCCATCTTCCTCTACTTTATATGTGGGACACCCACCACAGCATGGCTTGATAAGCAGTGCATAGGTCCACACCCAGGATCCGAACCGGCGAACCCCGGGCTGCTGAAGCAGAGCATGCAGACTTAACCACTGCACCACAGGGCCAGCCCCTCACTTCCATTCTTATTCTCTCTTCTCTGTTAAGTGTCAGTCCTGGTCTGTGTATTTACATCCATAAACATAGGTTTATGCTATACCCAGTATTTTGTGATATTCTTTTTAGTGAATAATCAGTCTTTGAGATTTGCTGTGTCAGTTCATAAAGCCTGCTTCATTTGTTTTTATAGCTGCATAGTATTCCATAGTATGGCTCTATCATAATTTATTTAACCCTTCATATCTTGATGGGCATTTGGGATTTTCCCCTATTAAAAACGCCACTACGTTCTTTTTGGGGTATGTGTTTTCTCACTATAAGCAGATATTATAGCATAGTAGATAAGCATCCTGCTTACATTCAAATGACAGGCTTTAGTATTTATTAGCTGTGAAACTGGGCAGTTACATAATCTCAGTTTCTTGAGCTATGAAATAGATATAGGTAATAATTACTTATTTCAAGCATTGTTATGTCAAGAATTTAGAACATTATCTAGTACATATGGAGTATCAATAAATGTTAACTATTAATATTGAGTATATTCTGAAATTTATCTTCATCTGCACATTATTCAAACAGACCAGTTTTTTAAGAGTGAGGATATACCTGCCTACTCAAATCAAATAAGATTTTTAACATAAAAAAACACCAGTCTCCAGAATTATAATAAATTCTACCAGAATTTATTTCTGAAATGTTCTTACTCCGTCACAAACTATTTATGATTATGTGACGGTTTATGTCAGTGCCTGTCTCATTGGTGAGCTCTTCCTTCATTTAAAAAAATGACATTTTCAGTCTATTGATTAATCTTAGACTAATGCAAAACTTGTGTCCTTGAATTGCTACAGAGCTTTAATTAGGAGACCAATACTAATTCAAGTTCAGTCATCACTTCATTGTGAATAATTGTTTTGGAAGCTAGATCTGCTTTGCTCTTCAGGTTAATGAAAACTAGCCTCGATGGAGATATCATCCGAACACAAAAGCTGTCATTCGTCATTAGAACAGTGGCACGACGTTTTCCTGGACACTTACTGGCATGGGATTTTGTCAAAGAGAACTGGAATAAGCTTGTACAGAAGTAAGTTTCTCATAGAATTAGTAGCTTTTAGTATTTCTCAGGATCTGCATTTGAAAAAAGTTCCCAGTGTTGTATTGGTTTGCAGGAGTTATGATTTGCTGTGAGAGGAAAAATGCTTCAGTGACAGTTTAACTGAAAGACCCAGAAATTTTTACATTGGTAAACATGACCCCGTGACATGAGTCATTTAACAGTGCTGTTCTATTTGAGTGCTTGTCAAGCCAGCCTTGCCTGACACCAGCTCACTGAGCTCAGCATGGCCACAGACTGTTCAGAATAGCTGTGTAGTTCTGCATGTTCAAAAATACCTTTTCGTTGTGAAGGGATTGGTTAAGAACCCACGCCTAGCTAGATAAGACTTCTAGGTTTCTGTCTTTTAAAGCAGTAATGACATTTCTGGGTGAATAAGATGTGATTTTTGAGTAGGTTAGATGGCTTAGTAACTTATTGGTATATCCCTAACTCCTGCCTTTCTCTGCCCACCTTTCCTCCTCAGGGCAGTGAGTATAGAACTGCTCCTGACCCTGCAGGGCACTGCCCAGGAGCACAGCTCCACTCTGCTTTTGGTGTGGGTAGCTTACAACGAAGCATTTCCTTTGCTTACCAGCAGCTGCCTCATTTTTTTGTCTTTTTTGCTTGGATTTCTTCAGGTTCCATCTGGGGTCCTATACCATGCACAGTATTGTTGCTGGATCAACTCACCTGTTTTCAACAAAGGCACACTTGTCTGAGGTTGGTTCTATGAAATACTAGTAGGGAGATTGGGTAACCCTTATCCCTCAGGCTGCTCAGGTTAAGTCAGCTGGTGGCTTCTCGTGCCAATTCCTGCCCTTTCTCTCTGTCTGCCTTCATCAACACTAATGATTCTGCACTGGGATTACTTCTAAAGGGTAGATATCCAGCAATGAGGAAAACTTGTGATGAGGATTTCATTCTCAACAATATTCCCTTGTCTTCCTGACACAAATAATTTTTTGAGTTAAGATCAACATGTGCCAGGTTTCTTTTCCAGTGGTAATAAAATTGTTTTGAAGATTTCCATCAAAGGGCAAAATTGGGCACCAAGCCTAACTTTAGACTCTAACTCATTTACTACTACTTAGCTTTTTTTTTCTATTTTAAATTTGAGTAGTTCATCCTTGCGGGAGTAAGGGGAATTCATTTTTAAAATTACTTCAGATTTTACTGTACTTATCAGGAACTTGATGTAAATACCTCAAATATTAAAGCACTTCTTGTCTCTACTTCTTTCAAGACATCAGCACAGCCATCACTAAGGTAAAGCTTGTTTGAAAAGGATGTTCAGAGTTACTGAGATTTACTCTTCTGTTCTTCTTTTGAAATACTTCTGTGTGCAACTCACAGGTCCAGGCATTCTTTGAAAGTCAGTCCGAGACGACCTTCCGGCTTCGTTATGTCCAGGAGGCTTTGGAAGTCATTCAACTGAACATCCAGTGGATGGAGAAGAACCTTAAAGCTCTGACGTGGTGGCTGTAGCACGCACAGCCACACCTCCTAGTGTCACCCATTCAGAGAGCTTATTGACTTGGGCTCTGCTGCTTTTGCAAAAGCCAAGGTGAAGCCAGGGTTGCTGCCGAGTTGTTTGCACTCTTGGGTGTTCTAGTTAGCTCAGGGCCCGTCTGTGTTTTTCATCTGTCTTTTCTGAAATGTCTTTGGGCAGTATGTAATTATTTATTACAAAATTATCTTCACCTAAATGCCAACCATCTACAAAAACAATGAGTAATTTTTCTGCCTTGAAGATACCCAAATGGGGAAAAAATCAGTTTGGGGATTCTGTTGTGTTTGTCAGTATCTGGAAAGTACTGACAATGTGAAACAAGGAAGGATCTACCATGGGAACCACCATCTTTGCAGGCTACTGGTTTGTCAGCCATTTGTTGCTTCTTGTTGATAGATGTTATTTGAATGTACAGAGTTAGCTTCAAAATGTATGGGAGTGAGGTCGATGACACGTGCAGCTGGAGAAACTGATCTCAGGTGTGCAGATCTACTTTGGGGGTTTTGATTAATCCTTTATTTTCTGGAAAAAGTTTAAATAAGATCTTTCACTGTTATATTTTTTTCTGCTGAATAGCCAGGTGCTACAGAATTTTTAAATTTTTGTTGTATTAAAAAGATAAATAGCTCCAAAAGATTAAATTTTCCAAATATTTAACACTTTCTTTTTCATCTTTTAGGAAAACATTTCAATCCAAGTTAGCTTTAATTGTCTTATTCGTGAATTACAGTATTCTCCAAATCTGTACACTTTTATCACTCCCTGTCATAGATACACCTTATGTTATAAATAATTTCTTTTAAATTTATGGCAAGCATTTTGTTAATACTGATGTATTTTATCATGACTTTATCACTGTTGCTAAGAATACAATTTGTTTGTTCCCTTTTGGTGTGATAGATCATGGACACTTTCTCTCTGAGTCATACCCGTGGGTGGATTTTCATTTTATGTGATAGAGTAACATATTAGAACCATATTTTAGAATAGGGCCTTTGAGAAATTCAACCTTTTTATTTGAAGTTCACCATAGTACCTTAAAGGAATAAAGAGAATGTGGGATAGGAGTAACTTGATTCAGGTTTAATATGGTGGGCTTTGAATTTTTTCTACTATCAAAAACAGTACTTTTATTTAGTTAAAAAATTGTAGTTTTCTTTTATCATGGCCAAACTAACAGATTAAAAGGAATGGCCAGGAAAGAAAGAAAGAAAATGAGGGAAGATATCCAAAACTGTATGGCATTTTTACTCCTTCTAAAGGAGAAATACTGTACTTGAACTTTTTGAGCTATGCAGACTTATACCTAGATTGTGTGTTTCATTGATTCTTAGGAGAAAAGCTTTCTTCCTAATGATTCTTGAGTACTTTATATTTTGTTTGAAAACATCTTTTATGTATGTAAAAAGGGTAGTTACCCATTTACAAGCACTTACAACACTCCATAGAATCAGACAATGGGAAAGGTCACCTTTTTGTATTCAGCAGGTGTAAAGTGAGAATATGTGGGATTGTGTATAAAATTATATTTTATTTTATGAAAATATTTTTATATAACAAAATTTAAAAGGCTGGTAAGCTAAAAGATAGCTTTCTTTAATCCTAGTGTGTTTTCCCCCAATTTAGTCTTTTCTAAACAACATTTCTCTCTGTTTTAGAGTAGAAAATATTATATCCTGAGAATCACAGAATCGTCTAAAGATGTCTTATTGAAACTTGGGGGATTGTAGGTCTTTATTCCTCCTGTGCTTCAGTAAATGAATGATCACTTAGTTGATATTGAAAGTTAGTGTGTTTTTATATTTTTAGAGTGGGGACAAATACTAAACTTTTGACGGGTTTTTTTGTTGCTGGTTTTTTACCATGTTATATTACTAAATTCCACTTTGATACAGAGTTTAAATTTTGCTACTTTTCAAAATCAGTTAAGATTCTTCAGTTTTGCCTGCCCATCTTTACATTGCTCCTGTAATATATGTCAGCTCTGCGTATGGCAAATCTTGTCTCAAATCATATCATTTTTCCTGTGAGTGTGTGTGTGGAGGGTGGGGTGGGGGATGTTGTTATAAGTAAAACCTTTTCAAAACATAAGCTAAATAAGAGGTAGCTCGTTATCCATTGGTATCTGTGTACCCAAAAGCTGTGCATTCCCCTGGTACCAAGTTCATACTATTTGTAGCTTTATTTGTAGGCTTCGCCTCAAATATTTGTAGTTTTAGCAGGCCTCACCTCAAATTTTCCCACAGAATTCCATGATTGTCAATGTTATACTAACCCATCTACATGGGACTTCTAAAAACTAATTCTAAGTCAGGAAGATACGGTTAAACAATAGGTAGAATATATAGTGTAAGCAATGTAATTGTAGTTTTTGAAGTTTTTCCCCCAAAACTTTATCTTAGCCCCTGTATTTCTGAGAACTCACATAGACTGAAGCACAGCAGTCACAGCGTGCTTTTAAGCACACAGACCCGTGGCACAGTTAGGTACTCATCTGACAAGCGTTATATTCACCGCAAAGAGACGGTCTTCTTGAATGTAATTTAGAAGGCGTGTCACACTAGATTACTGGGAAAGATGACATTGGAAATCGGGAATTGTAGAAGAAAAATTTATGAATTGGAAATCGGGAATTGTAGAAGAAAAACCTGTGCTTTGGAAATCAGAAGGTCCTTGAAAGTAGAAATCTACGGAGTCCAGTTTGTTCTGTTAAAATCGAGTGATTAGCTTCGTTAAACTGCAAGTAGTGTCAGCTTCCACCATAAGCTTGTGCCTCCCTCCATCTTATTGTTTTATAGAAGTCTCTCTAAGTGAAATTGTCATTTGCCATTGTTTCAGTGTTGATGAACTTTCTTATTATCACAGGACTCTGTTATCCTTTGCCATTTGTGTTTTCCTGTTATTGTACTTTAGCCACGGTAGGAGCAAAGGAGCTGTCAAAAGAGTCCTGGGTATGTAGAGGATGTCAGCTGCCCCAGTCTTATGGATACCGAGCAGAATCCTTTCTGAGTGTCGAAAAGTAAGAAATGAGAGTCGAGTGCTGAGTTTGTCAGATTACTGATAGTCTGTTACTGAGTTGGATTTCGAGTCTACTCAGACTAAAGCCCCTGGAACCATAATCTGCAGTCAGATTGCTGAACCTTCACACAATCCCCGTGCATTTCATGGGGCTGCAGGGAAGGTGTAGGTGTCTCAGGACATGTGTTGTCACCAAGGACAGCAATTCCTGGGCAGAGTTTGCAAAACTGGACCCGAATTCCATAGGTGTGATGTAGCTCCTTGTCCCCTTTGCCTTTGTTATTTTTGTTTTTATTGGAATTAACTCTCTTTTTAAACTTTCTTCCCCTCGCACAACACCTCTGTTTGTACTTTTGAAAACTAAGGTATATATTTTTGCTGTTTTTTGCATTCTTTTATTTTATATTTCATTCTCTGCATTGGCAAGTAAGTACCAAATGCAAAGTGAAGGTCTGAAAGCGTGGTCACTCTCCCCTCCCTTCCCCTCCCTTCCCCTCCCTCCCCCTCCCTCCCCCATTGTCTGCATGGGCAACAGCTCATAGAGGCGTTGATTGATTTCTTTGAGTGACTTTTTGGGGGTATGTGCTTTAAAAATGTACAGATATGTTTTTATTCTTTCATTTTGTCTATTTTGTCCTGATGAAAAGAGAAATATTTTCCTATGAAAACCTTGTCTACTCTTCCCATATTGCCTGTGTGAGCAACAGCTAGAGTAATTATTTGATTTTCTTTTTTGGAAGGAAATGGTGATATTGGGAGGAAGGTGAAGTATGTTCTTTTAAAAATTACATACACGTGTTTTTGCTGCTATTTTGTGGGTGTTGTTTCATTTTGTAGTTCCTCGTCCTTCTCATGGGTATGTAGCTATCTGATGAACTGTGGAGGTCCAGAAGTATGACAGTGTCCTGTTACCCCGTCCTCATTGCCTGCATGGACAGAAACTAATGGAGGAGTTGTATTTTGGTCTAGTCTTGAGGGCAGGGGGTTGTATATCATTGTTGCAAGTGTATATAAATATTATGCTACTTTTTTATATTTCATTGTATACGTGCTCCTTTGCATGGATGTCATTTAATGAAAATTGAGGTTCAGAGTATGATAAATCTCCTCTTTTCCCTTTTCCTCTTGCCCCTTTGGGCAATAGCTTGAGTAGTTTGTTTTGGGGGTGGGAGAGAATGGGGTATGTACTCAATGTATATAAATAAATTTGCTACTACTTTGTATTACTAATTCATTTCGTACTCTGTCCTCATAGGACATGGAAGTACCTAATGAGACGTGGAGGTCCGGATGTATGACAATTTCCTCTTGTCCCCTTCCCTTATTGCCTGTGTGGGCAATGGCTAGTAGCGTAGTTATTGGAGTGGGGTTTGCGGGGGGAGGGGATGTGTACCTGCTGTATATACCTGTTTTTACTACTGTGTCATATTATTTCATTGGGTGCCCAGAGGGTGGTATCTCATGAACCATAGAGGTCCAGATATATAACAATCTCCTCTTGTCCCCTTCCCTATTGCCTGTGTGGGCAATGGCTAGTAGAGTAGTTGATTAGTTTCAGGGACTCTTTTGTGGGTATTGGGTAAATACTTTTTAAATATGCATACAGGTTTTTACTTCCTCATTATGCTCTTTCATTGGGTGCCCAGTCCTTCACCTGGACATGTAGGTTCCTAATGAACCATGGAGTTCTGAATGTACAGCACTCTCCTCTTCTCCCTTTCCTTTTTTATCTGTGTAGGCAATAATTTTAAAGTAGTTGGGTTTTTTGAAGTTTTGGGGGGCAGGATATATACTTTTGGAAACTGTATATACAGTGTTTGTTACTATATTGTGTTTTTCCATTTTGTACCCGTCCCAAGCTTGGACGTGTAGATACCTAACAAGACGTGGAGGTCCGGATGTATGAAAATCTCCTCTTTTCCCCTTTCCACATTGCCTCTGTGGGTAATAGTTTTAGCGTAGCCTAGATTATTTTTTTTAAACTCTACCACTGCCTCCCCTGGGAGGGTGGGGATATGTACTTTCTAAAATGTATATAAATGTTTTTGCTCCTTTTATCTGTTTTGTACCTAGACCTTTCCATGGATACTTAGGTACCTGATGAAAATTAAGGTTCATTCTATGAAAAAAATCTCCTCATCTCCCTTTCCTTATTGCCTGGCTGGGCAATGGCTAGTAGCATAGTTGTTTAGAGATGATTTTTTTTTTTTTGGCAGGGTAGTGGGGGATTTCTGGGTTTGCATTTTTTAAATGTATGTAAATGTTTGCTGCTTTTTTTGTTCTTTCACTCCAAACTTAGTTTTTTGTTTGGACTTGTAGATATCAACTGTAATGCAGAGGCCCAGATCCAGAGGTGTCGTCAATCTTTTCTTCCTTCCCCCGTAGCCTGTGTACATGGGCAATAGTATGAGAGTGCTATATAGGGCTTGGTTTTTTGTTTTTGAGGTTTTTAATGGGGAATAGACTTAGGCAAGATATGTAGTTTTTTAAATGTATGTAAATGTTTTTGCCTCTTTTTGATGTTCACTTCATTTTGAGTCTAGTCCTTTGCATGGTTATTTAGGTACTTAGGTATTTAGGTGATGAAAGTTGAGATTGATTCTATGAAAAATCCCCCCTACTCCCCTTCCCTCATTGCCTGGTGGGCAATAGTAGAACAATAGATGTTTGGGTTTTTTTTTTTTGAGGGATGGGGGTGGGGAAGGTTTGGGTATATATATATGTATATATATATATTTTTTTTTAATGTAGATAAATGTTTGCTACATTTTGTGTATTATTTCATTTAGTACCCAGTCCTTTGCTGGGACTTGTAGGTACATAATGAAACATGGAGGTCCAGACGTATGATAAATCTCCTCTGCTCCCCTTCCCTCACTGCCTGTGCAGGCAATAGTTTTATAATCTGGGGTTTTTTTTCAGGAGGGATTATTTGGGTGGGTAGCGGTTAGGGGAAAAGGACAGGGTATGAACTTTTAAAAAATGTTTGTAAATGTCTTCCTGTTACTGATGTTGTACCTAGTCCTTTGTGTCCAGTGTGGGTACCGAATGCAAATGGAGGGTCAGCGTGTGACAGATCTCCCCCCCTTCCCCTGGTTGCCTGTGTGGGCAACAGCGATTAGAAGAGTTGTGTGTTGTTTACTTACTTGTTTGTTTTGAAGGGATTTGTATTTTTGGCAAGGGAATATTCTTAATACATATAAATATGTTTTTATTTCTTTGTTATTTCATTCTGTCTTTAGTCCTTTGCATGGCTTTGTAGGGACCTAATGAAAATTGAGTTTCATAAGTTGACACATCACTTTTTCATTTCCCGCATATTTCTTCATTTAGCAGTAGCTAGCACAGTTTTTTTGTGTTTATTTTGTTTAATTCTCTAGCATATAGCTTTTAAAGATCTAAAAAAATATATACACATATGTAATTTCCTTCTCCCCCCCGCCATTATTTTCCTTCAGTACTTAGTCCCTTGCAGGGCTCTGAATGTATCTAATAAAAATAAAGTCCCACTAAATCCCTGCCACCTGATGTGAAGGTGTGGCATTGTGGTGGTATAACTAATGGCAACAGACATGCAGCAAATAAGATGGGAGAAGACACTTGGATATGGTTGAGTTGTGAAAGCTAATCAGATCCAGCATTTCTTGTGTTGATTCAAACTAAATGAAATGTAAGAAGGGACCTGTTCTTTGGAAATTCCGGAAGGACAAGGAGGAATACTAAGTAAAATTGTGTTTAAAGATCAGTGCTGACTAATCTTTCAGTGACTGGTAAGCCACAGAAGTGCTGCCTAGAACTCGTTTGAAGACCCTAGAGAGCAGCTTCTTTTCTGAGGCCTAGAATTCTGATCCGTCTTTAGAAGTCTGTTGCAGTTCCATCAATAGCATATTCTTGTGTAGTCGGTAGAAATTTTTTTTATTTTTGGAATGATCCTTTTGAGTTATTGCCATGGTTCTAGTGAATGACAGCATGGGCCCAAAAACTAATGCAAAAAGAATTTGAGTGACAGGCCTCTTCTATTTTTCAGCACCCACGTATGGTAGGGCAAGCTGGCCCTTTCCTACCCGGAACTCCTCTGTGTGGCTGCGTCTCTCTCCTCAGTTCTCCATTAGCTGGACCATTCCTGTTCTTTTTCCTTTTTGTCTTCAGTCCCTGCATTGTTAGATGTTATCTTCAAGTACACTCAAAAATGTAAGCCAGTGTCGCCTCATTAGCTGTGTATTTTGCATGCATTTCATGCATCCAGACCTGTATGTTCCCTTTCAGCATTTCGAATCATATTTCACATCAGCTCTTCATCCACCACATGGTAACTGTTATGACTCCACATTTGTCTGTATCAAAGAAAATGCATGTGTAAAATTCCTCCCTCTCTCTCTGCCCCGCTCCCTTCATTCGATCTTCTGAGCATTTCTTGTTCGTTCTGCAGTTTATAATGAATATAATGCTGAAGATTTGCCATATTATTATTATTATTATTATTTTAGAAACATTGAGTGATAGGACTCCTAGAAAATTTGCAAAGAGATGTTATTTACCTTATAAAACTCTCAGGTTCTAGTGTTGAAAAATTAGCCTATACTTTACTGTTACTTATACCTGCTGCTGTAGGAAAAACAAAAGTTTATTCATGACACATTTAACTTTGATCATAAATAAAAGAGAAGGAGGCACCTTTTTGGAGTTAGTCATGGTCGTCATTAGTGATATTTCTGACAGTTCTTCATTTGAAGTACTTCAAAGGAAGTAAAGGTCATGGCTTAGCTGAATGAAATGCTCCAGAAGTACAGTAATACACTCATGTGTGTGTGTGTATATAAAATGAGAATTACAGCGTAAATTGGAGCATTTGCGTTAATCAGCAAGCTCACATTGAGACAAAACTCAGTCTTACAGCTGTCTTGATTAAAGCCAAGTGTTCCATGTTGCTGTGAAGAAGAGTCTTTCAAAAACTTTGAAAAATAGTTACTTGGGTACTTGTAAGGTATTACATTTTCGTATTTAAACACCTATAGAGATCTCCAGTTCCTTGAATCTGAGCTTATGGGTGGAATTCTAAATTTGTATCATAATCTGTCTTTTGTGGAAGGTTTTGAAAATAGTTATGTATATATATAATATTATATATGCAAGTTGTGTTGTGTCACTTGTAAAGGGAAAAGGCTTATTTTTCTTTATACTTCTAATAACTTGTTTTGCATATGACCAGCACTGACTGAAAGGCATGTGTAACTGCAAACACTGTTGCTTTTTTTTTTTGTGAAATGAAAATAAAAGTATTTAAATATAAATATTGTGTGGACTGTTTGGTTGAAAAAAATTACATATAAAGTGGTATATTTTCTCAGATTACAGGCTCTACCAGGACAGCAGCCATATTCATTGTCTTTCATAACTTGTTTCCTACCTCCTCAGGACCCCAGGATCCTTACTGCATATAACTCAAGGTTTCTCGGACTCACACTTGACATTGGGTGCTGTCTTGTGCATTGTATGATGATTAGTATTAATGCAAATAGCAACTAGATGCCAGTAGCAACTCCCTCACCCTCATCGTGACAACCAAAACTGTCTTCACACATTGCCAAATGTCCTCTGGGGTGGAGCTGAGCATTAAAACTTTCAGCAGACTCATGGAGCAGTGGGCTCAGTAACAGTTACGTGAACTCCATCTAGGGTAATGATGTACTTTTCAGACTGAAGTGATTCTTGTAAACACTCAGGTCACCTGAGTAGCCAGTTGATACAGTAATAATTCATTACCTAACTCAGTGTAAGACATACAACTTCTTATGCCAGTGAAACCAGGGAGCACTCATTATCTTAATTTGAAGGTGAAAGGACATTGGATGGTATCAGGGAACACCGCTTGCCTTGGTTCACATATAACTGGAATGTAAGTGCACAGCTTCTTAGAGGGACACTGCCACAGGTACAGTCCTGGGCAGGTCCACAAAGGAGCTGCTTCTATCCCCATGAGTGGTCGTGAGGGAGAATTGAGAATTTCTTAGGCTTCCAGCCATGGAAACTAGAACCAGTACTCTTTTATAGTAACTGTTAGGGCTTAAAGTTGGACGTTTTTAGAGCAAATAGAGTGCCTCTGAATCCCCTTACCCAAAACCCTATTTCTGGGGACACAAAACAGCCTTGAAGCCATACTCTTAAAATCTCTTATAGGGATCATTAATGATATATTGGGGCAATGCTCTTAGGAATTGCAAAGGTTTTGATGAAAAGCTTCTGCTTAAATTTTTGATTCTTTTTAATTCCTGGATATTGCAGTAAACAACTGAAGTAAAATCCATTATAAATTAAAAACCCGTTATAAATGTGTTTTTATTCCACTGATTCCAATGGACTTTTGGGATGGAGAGTAATAAACCATTTTCTCTCTTTCAAAATAATTTTTATAATTCATGGCACAGAAGAATTTGATTTGGTTATATTTTCTTTTTGCTTTACGCCTTCAATTCTTACCGTAAAGCCCTTCCCCACCAACACACACACAAAAGCATCCAGTGCTTACGAAAACACGTGCACGGGTTGAACAGTTGACTTACGTGCTGTACAGGAGGATTATTACCAGAGGGAAGACACTTTTAAATTATCATTACAGCTCACCCTCTAGATCCAGTAATTGGTAACATGTTTCCAATGCTTTGTGCTTGTTCTCACTTTTATTCTTCTTCATGGATGGACATCCAGTCAACTGGTCAAAGTCCAGTTGAGGATAATGCGTTTCTGAGACCCCTGTGATTTCTCTTGTTGGCTGAACTGAATTATAATCAGGACTTTGCTTACACGCATAGCAACTTTCTACTTTCCCACCCATTTTTATAAAGGGAGAACATAATGTAATAACATAACAATAGACCTAATAGAGTTATCAAAGTCGATGCTGCCAAAGTTGAACTGTTGATAGCAGGCGGCACCAGGAGGCAATAGTTTTAAAGGAAGCCACGGGACATCCAAGAGGCCAGGTCAGCTTAGGAAAGGCTATTTAGGGCAGTCAGTGTGCTACATATTCAAGTGCCATGGGTACACAAGCCAAGTGGGCGAAATCGGCAGCCCTTTTGTTGGATGTTTTCTCATGCTGTCGCTCTTCTATGTGAGTGGAGCTGAAGAGATCCTCGGGTGTTTCATCAGGATGGCACATTCGCTGTCCGATGGGTTTAGTGGCTATTTATATCTTCATTTTCTTTACCTCTCAGCTTTTGTAATTTTTAATTTGAGAAAAATTATTGGAATGGTACTATTATTACATGTTATAAAGGTGACATTTTCTAGAAATTTTAAAGTCCTTGAAAGGCTTTGGGGCTTAGACTGACATCAGTTAGGACTGCACTTAATTCCTGGTTCAATCATTTTCCACTTGTTACTTATTTCCTATTAGCCTCAGTTTTCTCCATTAATAAAACAAGGATACTACCTACCTTGCAGGGTTGTTGGCATTAAATAAAATACCTATAAGGTGCCTTGTACAGTGCCTGGTACAGACAGAGTCAATATCAACTGCTACTGTTAAAACTGACAGCTGCATCTGAGGTCTATGGCTGTTAATACCCTCACTTACAGATGGAAATGAGTTTTTAAATGAGTAAGATTCTATAGCTTGCCAGTTAGGAAATTAGAGAAACAATTTCAGTCTAGTCCGCTTTTTATAAAATTAAGCTTTAAATTTGCAAAGATTTCATTTGTTTGAGAGGCATTTTAGTATATTAGAAAAAGCATGGAGTTATATAGGTTTCACAACTATAGAAAATATCCTGTCACTGAATTTGCTTAATTATAAATAAGTACAAAATAAAATCCTGACTGTTGACAAATCTGCAATGGAGGTAATAACATCTACTTTTCAGTAATAAGGTGAGGCACAGACACATGGGAAAGCAGACCTAGTGCTTCCTAAGTGCTCAATAAATATTCCTTTTCTTTCCTTTCTCTCAATTTATTTGCCTCAAGAATGCAAAAGAATCAAGCATGCTCAAGTCTCAATTCTAGCTAGAAAACATTGTATACGATTGAGGGCATGACACAGAAATTGGCCAAATGTTTTAGGATCTCTGTTAGTGCTGAAAGGAACCTTCGGTATGACCTAGTCTAACTCCCTCACTTTACAGAGAAAGTCAGGGCACCAGAGGTTATGCCTTAGCGAAGACGCCTATCATATAACATTATATGTTAAATTCGTATATATGCTTGTAGTATTAGAAACAGTTTGTATCACCTTTGAGACAAATGATGTGCAGTTGCCTGCAGGGTACTGTTTCCTTGCAGATAAGAGTATTAGAATTTGCTATTGAAAGTGGTGTTTTATTAAAGTGGAGTGTGGAGCTAAATTAAACTATCCTAATATTTTATCTTTTAGGCTTGATGTTGTGAATGATCCATATATCACGATCTCAAAAGAGTGGCCCCTTTTTCATATGTTTGAACTAAGTGGGTTGCATTGAAGTCTCCGCTCTCAGGCAGAAGATACTAATGTCAGGGAGGTTCAGACAGACTTCTCTCCCCGACAAAAGAAGATCAGAGAGGAAGGAGCGCTGTTCAACAATGGTGAGGTGCCAAGTGCCATAATGGTTGATGGCCTGGATGGAAGGAACACGAATATTAGCTTCACCAACTACAAGTAGAAAGTGCAAATGAGCCACTATCCTAAAGCCGTGTACCGCGAGCCTGAGACGGGCCTGCTATCCTCAGGTGGGCCGGAGAGTCCCAGACCCTGGCTGCATCCTGCTGTCCTTTCCTACTTTTCAACAGACCTCCTTCTGTTGTCAGAAGGACAGGAACTTTAAGAAGTTTACAGTTGTGGGAAAAGAGACAATATTAAAGGAAAGAATTTTCAAATCACCTATTTCACATATTTCATCTTCGTTGCAGGGGACATAACCTGGATGTCAGTTGACCTCTTCTGCCCTGCATCCATGCCTGCAGTCTCTTGTCTGCCTTGAGCAAACCTAGACTCACAACCTAGCACCTTTTCCCACAAAACCCATGACAGCCAAAGCGTTCCTGAGCAATGTAGGTTCCCCCCAGATTCCGTAGGGGACAGTCTGAGAGGCCAGCTACTCTCACGTGCCACAAGAGCATCTTCATCGTCACTCGGTATTGCTCTTCTCCGGAGCCTCTCCTTTACCTTGCCATTTCTAGGGGATCTTTTCACCCACCTTCTTTATTCAAAGTGCGCATGCACACAGGCCTTGCTGAGTACTCTTTCTTGCTCCTAGACATCCCCCTGCCCTAGAAATCTCCGTCTCCTCTATGGCATTGTGCCTCAGTGTCTACACCCGATGCACAGCGACAAGTTCATCAGGAGCTCAGTGAGACTAACGGCCTGTAGTTAGCAGCTGGCCCGACGATTTAGAGGAAGGGTCTGTGGCCTTTTGCTATTTGGACATACTCCTTGCAGTCTCACCCCTTACTCCAAGCAGTTTATCAACTGCTTATTTCAAACAAACACATTGATCTCGTAAAAGAAAACTTTACCTCTTTAGATTGGCAACTGATTCCTTCCTAACTACGTTTTTCTAGGCTAATATGAAAATCGGCTTGTAATATCTGAGCACATCCTGACTTTGGGTAAGAGAAAGAAGCCATAAATTGATCTGGTAGAAGAAGGAAGCCAGGCCATACTCTAAGAATGTCTTTCCTCGGTCACTCATTCAGTAAACATTTGTAATCATCTACTATGCACTGGGCCCTGTGCTAGGTGGGTACATGAGGCTTGATGCTGTGATGTGGGCAGCTGGCTCCAGCTGGGAGAATGCCACCTGGGTTTTATAAACACTCCTGCATGGTGGGTGGTAGATAGTTGAGGGCATTTGGGTTCATGGGGAACAGAGGTGAAGGGTGTCACAGTGGGAGGTTTTAAGCCATGAGGCTGGTGGCGCTGCAGCCACTTCAATAACAGCAACTGCCTGAGTGGGGTGGGGTTGGGGGACACTCATTCGCCAGCCAGAATTCTCGCTCTGCTCACTTGGGTGTGCAGAGCAATGTGAGAAGTGGAGGCCTCTCACCAGATGCGGCTTAAGTGCCCACATTTAATGCCTTGTGTCCCTGACTGGGAACCAGAGGCGCTTTTGATCTGCACTCAGTAACCGCAAAGGTATTCATTCCAAAGGGTGTTCCGAGTGAATGATAAGAGGCGGGAAGTTAATTGCCTGTTTCGGTTTCACTCCAGGTTTCCCCTAAATTCTAATTAGCAATAAACCAGCTTGGCTCACCTCAACCTGAGTTGTGAGAGTGCTTTCTTGTCTGAGTTTCTCCTTGTGGCTAAGCAAGAATCAGGAGA